AGCAGCAGCAGCTCGACGCCGCGGACTCAAAGGCAGAAAACCAGCACGAACCAAAAGTCAAGCAGCAGCAACAGCAGGAAGAGCAGCAACAGCAGCAACAGCAGCAGCAGCAGAAGACCTTGAAATCCGAAGTGGCAGCTAGTGCAGCACCTGCAGCAGCAGAAGCAACAGGAGCGGGAGTACCAGCAGCTGCTGCTGCAGCAGCTCCAGAGAAGAAGGAGCCAAAAGCAGCAGCAGCAGCAGCAGCAGCAGCGCCAACAGCAGAGGAAGCAGCAGCAGCAGCCTGCAGCAGCTGTGCTGCTCTTGCTGCTGCTGGCGCTCTCGATGTCTCTTTGTTGCAGTCCCCCATCAGCAGCTACAACATCCCCCCTTCCTCGCGTCTGCCAGTGCTGCTGCAGCAGCAGCAGCAGCAGCAGCAAGGCAGCAGCAGGAAGCTTGTTGCTGCTTCCTGGGGTTTGCTGCTCCCCGGCAGCAGCTTCTCTCCTTCCAATGCGCGAATTGAGACAGTACACACAAGCAGAGCCTTCAGGTACTTGCAGCTGCTGCTGTTGCTGCTGCTGCTGCTGTTGCTGCTGCTGCTTTTTTTGTCGCTGCTGCTGTTCACCTGATATCCGGCTTCGCCCTTCACGGGCAGTTGCGTCAGAGAGAGCAGGAGCAGAAGCTCCCAGCAGCAGCAGCAGCAGCAGCACCAGAAGCAGCAGCAGCAGCAGCAGCATTCTTTTAGTTGGTTCTGCTTGCAGCTTCCCCGCAGCCTTGCCAAGTATTCCCCTGTCCAGAACAAACCCTCAAATGAATTCCAAATTAAATTAAATTAAATTTAATTTAGTTTAATTTAATTTAATTTAATTTAATTTAAATTAAATTCAAATTTAAATTTAAAGTTTTATTTTTTTTGCTGCAGAGGCCTCGTGGACAGCAGGCGCTGCGTGGCTGTAGTGGATTCTTTCTTCGAGTGGCAGCAGCAGCAGCAGCAGCAGCAGCACAAGGAAGCAAAAGGCAAAAAGGAGACAAGGAAGCAGCCCTTTCTTTTCAGGATGAAGGGCATCATCGCGCGTACGTTGCTGCTGCTGCTGCTGCTACTGCGGCTGCTGCTGCTGCTGCTGTGTGCAAATGGCTGGCGCTGCTGCTGCTGTGTGCTGCAGAGAGGCCCATTCCGCTGAAGCACACGCAGCAGCAGAAACAGAAACAGGCAGCAGCAAAGCTGGAGGCCAACAGCAGCAGCAGCAGCTGCAGCAGCAGCAGCAGCAGCAGCTACAGCTGTGGCAGCAAGTTCAGCAGCGTGCCCAGCTTCTTGGGTCCTTCAGAAGCCCCGCTTTTATTGGGCTGTCTGTACACCCCAGCCCACCCGGAGCGCCAGAGCAGCAGCAACAGCAGCAGCAGCAATGATAGCAGCAACAGCAGCAGCAGCAGCATTTCGTTTGCTGTGGTCACAATGAGCTCCAAAGGGACGCCCATGGAGAAGATACACGACAGGTTTGTCTTTTTGCTGCTGCTGCTGCTGCGGTTGCTTCACTTGCTGCTGTTTTGTTTTTGTTGCTGCTATAGCTGCAGCGGCAGCTGCTGCTGCTGCCGGCGCTGATGGCGCTGCAGCAGCTGC